TTCTAGCTGGAGTATATCCTAGACAAGTCAGAAAGCAGGAAGCAGCTTAATGTGACATTTTCATTTAAAAAAGATAAAAAGATGGGAAAAACACAAAAAATGTCTAAAGTATAAATGGATTTGCCCATCTGAGAGATTTGACAGTTTGTCACATCTAAATCTCTGTAATCTCTCCACTCTTGCAAGCTATTCAAGACAGCCACCAAGCCTCAAACGCTGCACAGCACACGTTCCGCTCTTTTGTTCAGCAAGGGGTAATTACACAAGACTGTGGCTGGATGTTAGGCATGTTAGGCCCACTGGTAGAGTAACTAAAACCCACAGTGTAGGTTCACAGCATTGCCAGGCACAACAAAACATTTGGTTTTACACAAATATTTGCCAGAAGCAATAAAATGCATATTTGATAATACTACTGTATTCGTAAAAGCAAACCAAAATTCAGTCATTTGAAGACAGAGTGCAAGAAGAAAACACAGGGGGAAAAAATTCACATAAAATTTAAAGGGACTAAGTACCAATCTATCAGAACAGGCTTTGTACTGCCTCTACTGCACTGTTCAGACACTCTCTTGACTATACACAGGAAGGCAGCAAAGAGTCCATAATCCAGTAATACGTGCTAGGTATCATGTTAGCACTTCACAGCCTTAAGTAAATCTGGGTTTATATATTTCTTAATACAGAAGAAACATCACTCCCATTCCATAGGCCAGGGGAAAAAAAATTTAAAAAATCAAATCAAGAAAACATGAAACCGAGAAGCTCACCAAAAACTTCAAGATTTGAGAGTGTATATTTTCTTTCACAAGCTATGTAACAGTCTTTAGACACTCTTAAAACAAGGGGAAAGGCACTACCAGAGCAGACCACAGCTGGCAGAGGGCATCGGGTCTCCCACAAACCTGTCCCTTAGTCACGGGACTGGGTGAGCGTGCAACTAAATCCCAGAGCAGCATGGCTGTTGCCAGTTCCTGCTGGCTCGCTTATTTTCCACTTTTAGGGTTTCAGACTGTCAAAGCTGTTCAGTGCTAGCACAGTTTTTCTATCCATTACATGACAGAGCTCAATCACAGGAACCACTGTGGAACTTTTTGCGGATCGGGATTCAGGAAAGCTACCAAGTGGTCTGTCCCACCTTTGAATCAGGCAATACTTTCCTCCTCATAACAATTCCAAAAACTAATTCACCCCTACCCCAGTAATACTGATGCGCAAGGCCAGGATTTAAGTTCAGCCTGCATGGAACCTCAGCAATTGCCAGGACAGACTGAAAGAGCAACTACACAAATGCAGAAAAACACTTGGAAAAAAGAGAACCTGTAACCTCACAAACACCTTCACGGGATGTCTGCACCTTTACTCTAGGCAGTGACTGAGTTTTGACAAACTTGTATTAAGCTGCTGTAACCTGAAAGAGTTGCTGTGCAGTTCGCTCCAAACAACAGCACTGGCAAGAGTTTTCTTTGGAAAACGAACACAAACCCAGCCCTGCCACACCAAGAGCCACAAAGAGCCACAGAAGAGACAAGACCGCGAATGTACCTTGATGGCACAACACATCTGTGGCTGATGCCGGCACTGAGAAAAAAGCCCTACTAAACTCCACGTTCAAAGTTCTGACCATGCTCAGCATCTTTTTACTGGCAGTAATCTAGATAAAAATATTAACGAGGAGTTGTTTTCAAGGTATGACAATTCTGCTTTGGCCAGTTTTTATGGTTTACAAATCCCCTTTTCACAGTTTCTATTATACTGCGGTTCGAGCCGGGGGGAAAAACCCGTGTACAAAGAACAAATCAACCCCGGCGTACGAGTCAACATCTGAAACGCTGAGAGCCTGCCTTTCATCCTAAAAAAACGTGGCGTGAAAACACCCGTGCGCAACAATCACTGTTAAGTAACACCTAGATACGCAACCTACTTTCAGCCAGCGCTTGCCTTTTGCCATTGAGGGGAGGAAACAAATTAAAAAAAAAAAAAAACAAACCCACAAATAAAGGCACAAAACAAGCAGGACTCCCCCCCCCCCCAGCGCCGGGGGCAGGCCGGGGCGGCGCTGCCGGCCCTGCCCGGCAGGGGGCGCGGCGCGGGCGGCCGGCGCTGTTGTTGTGGCCGCTCGGGGTATTTAAACGCCGCGCTGTCAATCACGGGCCGCCGCGCTCGCCCCGGCGCTCCCCGCACGGCGGGGGCGGCACCGCGCGGCCCCCGCAAGCCCCGGCCCGGCCGAGCGGCCGCCGCCGCCGCGGGCCCGCAACTTGCTCCTTTGTTTAACTGCCCGTGGATCCCCACCGCTGCCGCCTCCTCCTCCTCCTCCTCCTGCCGGGCCTTTTATTATTCGCACGCTCGGGTCGCAAAACACACACACACGCGGCGGCGGCGGCCGCTCGGGACCGGGCTGGAAACGTCAAAGCAGAGAGAGGCGCGGGGCGACCCTTCTCCTCCTACGCTCCCCCCGCCCCGCAAACAAAACGCACGGGCATCCCGGAGCTCGCACCCGGCCGGGGGCAGCCCCGGCGCCCGCACTTCGCCGCCGGGAGACCGCCCTGTCCCGGGAGAGACCCCCCGGGGGCGCGGGGGGACACGCGGCGCCTCCGCACAGCCCGCACAACTTCGGGGTGGCCCCGGCACCGCATCTGTTGCTCTTTCGTAACCGGCCCCCCCGCCCGGCTCGGCCCGTCCGCCCCCTCGCAGCCGCGGACCCATGTGCCCGGGGACGGCCGCCCCCGCCGGCACCGGCGCTGTCCCCACCGCGCGGGGAGCGGGACCGGCCGGGCGCCCGCGGGTCCCTCCGTGCTGCCGCCGCGCAGCCATTGTCCCCTCGCCGGGAGGGAGGGGGGGGAGGCGACTGCCACCGCCTGTGCCCGGTGGCCGCCCGGCCGCCCGCCCCGGCCGCTGCCCCGCCGCGCCGCCCGACCCCGGCGCCGCTCCCGGCGCCGTACCTGCCGTGGAACCAGTCCTTGCAGATGTCGCACTCGATCATGAAGCGGTTCACGTCGTAGGGCTCGCGGCACACGCAGTACACAGGGGTCGCGGCGGCGGCCGCCGCTCCGGCCATCTTTAAAGAACTCCCTGACTGAGCCGCCCGCTCCTCCCTGTCCCGTCCCGTCCCCCCCGCCCCGCTCCCTCCGCCGCGGCCGCGGCGGCGCCGCCAATAACAACAGCGCGCGTGCCGGCCCCGCACGCCGCGCGCGCCCCCCGCCGCCGGCAGGCACGCGCACGGGCGGGCGGCTCGGGAGCGAGCGGACAACAGCGCGCGGGGGCGCGCGCACGTGCGTCACCCGGCCCCCGCGGAGGCGGGGGGAAGAGGAGGAGGAGGATGGGGATGGAAGGGGGGGAGGAGGGAACCGCCCCGCCCTCCCCGCCCGCCCCGCACGGCGACCTGCCCCGCCGCGCCTGCGCCCCGCCGAACGGAGCACACCCCCCCGCCCCCCCTCTGCCCCGCCCGGTCCCGCCCCGCCCGGCCCGGCCCGAGGGGGGCGGGCACTGAGCGTGCGCGGGGGGAGCGCCATTTCCCCCCCCGCCAGGCGCGCGGGGAGGGGCGTGCACGTGCCGCCCCTACCGGGGGGCGGGGCGCGGGGAGGCACGCGCTGGGGCCCCCCCCCCGTTAGCGTCACGCGGGGAGGGGGCGGGGCGGGGTGCCGCGAGGACACGGGCGGGGGGGGCGGGACCAGGCGCGCGCCGTTCCCCCCCGTTATGTAACGACCGCGGCGGCGGCGGCGCCTGAGGGTCGGGACGTCCTGCCCTGTCCAGCCCCGTCTCCTCCAGTCCTGTCCCCTCTCCTCCCGTCCTGTCCCCGAGGAGCCGGCGCAGGTCGGTCGGACCAGCTGCCGGGGCCAGCCGGGCTCTGCTGGCCTCGGCACTGGGGCCCGCGCAAGTCTCCCCCGGTTCCGGCTGAATCCTCCTCATGCGAGTTAGGTACCTGAAGGATACCGAGGGGCAGAGGAAGCCAATGACGTACCACTCGCATACTACAGTTTCTGAAAAGTGTTGTCCCCAACTCATCAGGCACAAACTGAATTCCACACACGGAATGCTGGTGGACACGCACTGGTGCTTTCTCCCGGAGGGACCTCGGGGTAGAGGCACGTCTGATTTTAGGACAGGCCAGCGTTTCCATGCTGCCCAGCTGCGGGTTCCACTCGTTTATTTCTTGTTCAAGCTCTCTGCATACGTTTGTACTTTTGCATCATTATTACATTTCACGCCGTCACCCCTTCTTTCAGGACAGAAAAGTAACACCGATGCTTTCACTATGTGTCACCCTGAACAAGCAAGTAGAGCTTAAAAATGGAGTTGTTTTTTTCCTGCAGACTTTCAAGGAGCTATGGAGATTATGTGAGGGAATGGGGACCCGTGTCCTCCACACTGAATGTAGGAATTTAAAAGCAAAACAATAAATATGTTGAAGTGCATGTTACAGTGATCATAACTGTAATAGACTAACACTGCCTACAGCATTATAATTTTATATCCCATGGCCTTAACCAGTAGCCACAAAAAAAGCAAACGCTGTACATTTGTTTGGCAGGGGAAAGCTCAGAAGTAAATGTTTCCTTTCCAGGCTGTTATTGTGAAGCTTGCTAATGTTAACGTTTATATAAGACAGCAATATGAGATGATGATTTGGCAGCAAATTGGACAGCAAAAAAATGTAAAACAAATAAATCCAGCATGCAGGCTCTGTGACTGAATGGAGAATGAAATAGAGATATAAAGGAAATGTAAAGGATATCTTCAAGAAACACCAGATTCTCGGACCAAACCCTGACCTATTTAGAAAGTGCATGAGGTTCTGACCTGCAGGACATTGTTAGTGGGTGTTTCAGTACTCTTTTGTTTCCCAACACATCCCAGTATTTCAACAACTGAAAATGTGGCCACGGACATATCAGTTGTCTAAAACGCTGATGTTAAGTTTCATAGGGGTAAGAAACACCAGCAAGGTAACAAATGTCAATTTCAGGGCTTCAGGAAATAATACATACCAAGAGGCTTTCTCAGTAGAAATATTGTTTCCCTTTATTAATCTGATTCGAAAACACACAGAGGAAGTTGCTTTCTGATCATAGAGGCTGCAAGCTCTGGCATAATCAATTACAGGTAATGGAACAACTACCAAGAGGCAACTGTTCCAGATAAAATTGTTTGTGTTTGTGCAACAGTGTCAGTATATGTAGCCACGCTGGCATCTGAAAATGAACAATTCCTTCCTTCCCTCCTCAATTTGGTGTTGCTTAGGTTGTCACATGTCAGGTCTTATCTAGAAGTTGCAGTTACCATCTGGAGGGATGACTTTGTCCAAATTGGCCATAAAAATGCACATGTGTTGTGTTTCAGGAGGTGTCTGCAAACAAGAGAGCCTCGGTAAGGCACACGTTGTGTAGGTTGGGTATTCCTGTAAGAGATGGGGTGAGGCTGCCTAACGTGAGGGACGTGGGAGGAGACCTGGCTTGGCTCAGGGTGAGTCCAGCACTACGGGGTTGGGTGAGGAAGTTTTCACTTGACACACAAGAAAGCTGCCCACCCATGAGAGAGCAAAGAATGAGGCAGCAGGCTGATCTCAGCACCCTGTGGGTGCTTCCCTTCACAGGCCTTGATTACAGGAAAAAAGATTTATTTTTTTTTCTGAAAAAAGGAAGTTGTGATCTTAAGAGTGCAAAGTAAAGCTCATAGTGAGAAGTAAGCAGGCAGGAGCAAAGAAGCCTTTCTTAAGAAAGGAGAGTGATCAGTGGAACACACCATCAGTGTCTGTCTGATGTACAGACACTGTCACACTCCCCCTCGCCCCATGCTCTGGGTTGCACCCAGCCTACTATCCCCTCAGCAGCTGGAGTAAGCCAGTTGATCCTTACAGCTGTGCCCAGCCATAATCTTTCCACCCTAAACTCCACCATACGTGCCCTGCCCCACCAAGCACAACTTCTGACAAACAGAACTTCCAGCCCCTAAACCCAGCAAGTCCCAGTGGATGCCTCCATCCCCATGCCTGGACTCTAGCCAACACCTTAGAAACACATGGCTGGGGCTGGCAGGGGTGAGTGGCTCTGGAACTCAGAGGTACAGAGATAAAGAGCATCAGGTCTTCAGACACTAAAGTCAAGGTTAGGGATTGGGATTCTGAGGACTAAAGAGCACCACCTCTTTCCTCCTCAGGGCAAGCCTGAGTGCTGGTACTCAGTAAAGCAGAATGCTTCTGCTCATGTTTCAAGGAGTGCTGGCTGATAGCTTGTGCTTAAGGCTGGAATTAGGCTGTGAAGTAAAAAGAACTTAAATTGTAGGATTATTCCTGAATAATGTGAGGATTGTGGAGAAATTATAAGGCCTGGTACCCAGTTCTTGTCATTATGAGATACAGCTGCAAAAGCACTTGAGCCAGTCACATCAGGTGGCTTTCCGTGAAGTTTGTAGGGATGGTGGATGTGCTCAGCCTTAAGCTTAGGGTGAAAGATTGCCATGGGTAGGCAGTGGAAGGTAGAGAAAATGCCAGGAATAGGGAGTAAATCTTAGGACTGAGCAACTAGAATGATAGAAAGATGATACAGTTCCCTAGCACTATAATACATGCTTGTGCATATATGGGCCAGGTATGGCTCACTGTTGTATGGGTCAGTACAGAGTCAGGATCATAGTGGGGTTTGGGTCCTGCTGCTAAGTACAGGTCACATTAGCCAAGGACATTGCTAGGGGTTGAGTGTGAAAATTCTTCTGTGGTAGAAGTTAGCAATCAAATAAACAGAGTGTACAGAATTCATTTCACCCTGCATGCTCTACAGAGCAAATCTATAGTCACATCGTCTTCATAGACAACCCTTGCTCTGCGACATCCTCCATCCACTAGTCTGTTATTCTCTAGCCATTCACAAGTCTTCAGCAAGGTCCAGGGTGGGCTGAGGGCTGCTATCAGCAGGGAAAAACGGTTTATTGCTGGCAGTAAGATGCTGGGCTATGATTACAGATGAGGGTCTTAGCAAGAAAGCCATTCTTATCAAGGACGTGACTACCAGCACACTGCACATCAGCAAAGAGGATATGGGAGAAGAGAGCACTCACCATTGCACAATAAAAGCATCCAAAGCCCATGCCTGGCCTTGCATATCTCCCAAAGCACGTGCCATATGCTGTACATGGCATAAAGGAAGGATAAAGAAGGGGGAGCAAGGTAGGGAGGTTGCCAGAAGGGAGAAAGGAACATTTTCTGGAACTTCTGTCTGAACCACATACAGGTACCCACAAATATGCCTATTTGTCTCTTGAGAGGAGGGGAGAACTCACAGCCATCAGTCCAAGGATGGTGGCTCTCACCCAGAAGGGCAAGGGTGGTTAAATAAACACCAGAGATTATACTCAGCAGACAGAGAGATGGCCCAGCAGCAACTGAGGCTAGGGAGAATCACAAAGAGAAATCAAATGTTAATGGCCACTTCCAGAATAACGTGAAAAAAATCAGACAAATTATTGGGGAAACATTGAGGTAGAGGTACTTTCCCCATGTTTGGCCATTTCTTCGGTGTATTTTTGCAGATTCTGGCAAAGCACTCATTTTTAAAATTACTTATTTATTTTCACATCAAGAGGCTTAAGACTGCCGAAAAGCAAAGCTCTGGACTGAAAAAGCATTCCAGTTCTCTGTGTGAAACTGTCTGAAGCATACCGAGAATTGGCAGTACGATCTTTGCATCTGCAGAGAAAATACTGAGTCATGTTGTCAGCCCACACACATCTAACAAAAATAAAAGCAGACCAATGATTCAAGATTCACCCACTCGTCATTTAAAGAAAACACAAGTCATTCAGTCATGCCTCATGCTTCAGAGACCTTTAGAAAACACCCAGGGCAGGGAACATTCGCCCACGTCGCGCCCACGCACCATTTCGAACCAGAGATGTCATTTGCAACTTGTTCACTTGCAGGTCTGGACAGTGTTTGCTTCAGCATCCTCAGAGGAAGTTGCCGAGACTTAAAGGTTTCTGTTGAAGACATGACACGGTAGCTGCTGCCTGAGCCCTTCTGTTAGCAATGCCGAAATGATGCAACATAGTTGCCCGGCTTGAATCCTTGGAGGAGGCAGGAAAGTGCTGTGTGCTTCATGGCCAGGCAAACTTAAGCCACAGTTTGTATAAGATGCTACTGTGCTCTTCCTTCAGAGGTTAATCCTGTACTGAAGCATTGGCTGTCCTGCTGCTGAGCTCCCCAATTGCTCATTAGACAGGGAGGTATTTGCACAAACATCAAGATTTGGGGAATTACCTAGAAAAAAAACTCTTTTTGCCCCTTCCCACACTGTCTCCTAGCAAGAAAAAGCTGGTTTCCGCATTTCACAAGGCTGCTGGCAATCTCTCTTCCTCCTTCAGTTCTAAAAGCTGCTTGAAGTATTAACAGCTGAACCTGGATGTGTGGCAGCCAGCCCAGCTCATGACGGAGAGGGAGACGTCACCACACGGAGGACGCACGGATGGAGTTACACAATCTGCGTGGTGCTGAAAGCAGCACTGGAAACTTGTCAGGAGCCCAAAGGCCAGAGCTAATTTGTATTTCCTATTGCACAGCATGATTTTAATCAGACCAAAAAGCGCTCAGTTGTGGTTTTTGTGCAGGGTGTTATGAGCAGGGACAAGTTAACAGAGCAACTGTGGGCAGGACATGCTCTGAGGACAGTGCAGAGATGAACATTAGATAGGGAAAGGAATAGCAGACAAGACTTTTACACCAATTTATCAGCATTTCCAATGCTGTGATAGCCTAATACTCTTTATAAGAAGAAAGAAAGAAAAAAAAAAAAGACAACTGCAAAAAACTTGAGAAAAGCTTATTCGAAAAAGCTCTTCCCAAAGGTTCAGGATATGTCACCAAGTAAAACACAGCATTCAGGAAACCCATCTCACTTGCAGCCAATATTTGACAGCAGTCAAGTCTAGGTGATCTCTGACACAAGCTGCTCTTCAGCTGCAGGCAGGTGTGTGTGAGTTCCTCTTTACAATTAATTTTCTGCCTCGTTGAGAGCAGCCAGCACAAAGGACAGGCACAGTCCCCAAGCACCACTGATCCAACACAGGCTCCTCTTCAGCACCCCCTTTCCATGCTATGATGGATGGAGAGCGGGAGTTGGGAGCCATTCAGTCACCTTGCCCCACCTGGGCTCACAGCTGTGCCCTTTCCCAGCACACAGCATTGGGGTGCATCCTTGTGAGCCACTAGCATGGTACAGACAGGGAATGGGTCAGCAGGTTACTAGGAGAGTAAATACACCTTGACATTACTTGATTGGTTTGGTTTGTAGGCCTGGTAGGTTTGCTGGAAACCCAGAGGTAGGTTTGCTGCCTGAGGAGTGCTATAATTGGAGAAAATCCTTCATTTCAGCGTTCCTCTCTTTTCCTGCTGGGAAAAAATGCTCCTTTCCCCCTCAGTTCAGTTTTATTCCTTGACAGCTGAGAAAAAGAAAGAAAAAAAAATCAAACCTGGGACCTTTATTTTGCTCTGCAGAGTGAGATGAACTGCATGTCAGGGATATAAAAGGAAGCCTGACAGACAAGCTCATCTGTAGCTTCCTATATTCAGTCCGATAAACTCTATCCCCAGAGCATTTTGCCCACCAGCTAGACCTTTTCTATTGTAGCTCCTGAAAGCAGCACCCTCTCTGCTCTCATTCCTCCTCCACATGCTCCTTTACCCCCCTCCCCCACACACATTTGTCCCCCCAACTCAAACAGCTCCCCAAGGAGCTCAGGCACCACCGACATTCAGGGATGGGCAAAAGGGAAGATAGAGTCAGCTGAATATGCAAACAATCCTATTTGCACCCCGGCATGTACAATCCAGGTCTTTGTCAGCATGATGGAGTGCGCTCCATCCAGTTTGTTTTCCTTCTCTGCTATTATTATCCACGCCCTTCCCACAAAGAGCATTATCAAATGCTGTACCTGAATCAGGCTTTTCAAGATAGAAGCTGATTGCTGCCTGGTTGATACCTGTCCACCAGCTGCCTATTTGTTTTGTTTCAAAATTATAGCCAAGCATAAAATGTAGTGTAAAATCTACAGCTGCAATAAAAAAAAAAAAAAAAAAAGGACATCAGAAGCTTTTTCCTGGTGTCACTAAGACACTGGGTGAAAGCTTTTCCAGCTGCACAAGCAGTGAGCAGCCCAGCCCGCTGAGACTGGAGTGTGATGCTCTTGCGCTCCGAGGGGTTGTGTTTGGGAAGCTGCCCGATGCCTGCCTGCCTTCCCAGCGCAGCTTAACACCGCAGGAACACGCATGGTGTGCAGGTACCAGACGGTCCCACCTCGCGCCACCCTGGACAGACGGACAACCCGAGTGGGAAGGACATCGGGGCAAAGGTGCAAAGTGCTTTTTGCGGCTGGGGGCGGCGGTGGCAGCCACCGGAGCAGCACCGGCAGGGCCCCAGGCCTGGCAGACAATAGCTGTCTCCCTGCTCTCTCTCCCTGCCGGCCGCATCCGACGGAGGAGTCTCATGAATCAAGTCAAACACCCAGCGACAGGCTGGAGAAATCCATTAATATGCGGCCGCCGCCGCACGTTGCCAGCCCCCTGCCTCGCGCGCCGCTCACCTGCCTGTCTCACCCCTGGCAGCAGAGCGGGAACAAAGGAGCAGGGAAGGACGGACGGCAGCGACTGCCCCCCGAACGGAGGGAGGCATCGGCTGGAGACAAAGCCCATTTGCCTGCCGCCATGGGTGTGAGGAATGCTCCCGCTCGCCCTATTGTCTGGGGTCCTTTGTGCTCCTCCACCCCCCCAGTCCCCAACCGCATAGGCAGAAATAGTGGGAGCAGGACAGACACGGCTTTGTTGAAGGGAGCCCTCGTATGTGAGAAGTGGCCCTGCTGTACGTGCCCGTCTGGCCCACGGGCCTGCGCTCCTCCTGCCCCAGAGGGCAGGTAGGGAGCAGGGGCCTGTGGAGCACTGCAGATAGAGCAACAGGGGCACGGGTGTTTCTCCACGCCCATGGGGAATCCAGCAGCCCCTTCCTGACCACCTCTTGCTCCCTCCAGAGACTGATCCTGTGATGTCTTTGGGAGGTGGGGAATGGTCACCGGGTCCTGCAGAGGGGTTGTGAGGGCTGCCCTAACACCTCCCAACGCTGATCAAAGGCTGGTGAGCCTGGCTAAGCTGCATGAGGGAGCAGATCTGGCAGTACAGACTTTGGGATGCACTGAGCACCCATCGTGCCACCCATATCCCTCCCAGCCTTAGGAGCAGCACAGACACCTCTGCCAAACCTCCACTGCTTTGTCTAGTGGTGGCTGTGGCACCCTCATCCTAGCCATGTCTGTGGCTGCAGCATTGCAGCCCCTCAAGTCCTGCGGGGCTGGTGGCAGGACCCAGATTGCCTTGTCTCAGGGCAGAGCTGTAATTGCCAAGCCCTCCCAAGGGGTCAGTCCCCAGCTGCAGCACACTGCTCAGCTCTCCTCCCACTGTCACTCCACACTGCCATTGGAATGACCAGGACAGAGACAGGAAAGCCAGGTCCCTCCAGTGCGGGGAGGAGGGTGTCCCCATGATTCCCGTGCCCTTGCCCAAAGGACTACAGCACTGCCTAGTCCCACAGCAGCTGTAGCTGGACCATATCCAGCGAGAGACCCAAAGAGAGGTACTGCTCACCTGGACTCAGCGCACTGGCTCGTGCCGTCCCTGCCTTGTGCCGTCCCTGCCTTGTCTCCCCTCAGCTGTCTCTCAGTTCTCTGCCAGCACTGCTCACACATCCAATCTTAGCCATGCACAGGAACACCTGCAAGGTGGGTCTCATTCAAACAATATGACAAATGGGGCATAAGCAAAGAAAGAAAGGTAAGATCCAAATCCCAGGGAAAAGCTTGTTCCTGAGGAATGACACCTAGGACTACAAAGGAGCCCCCACGTGCCTGCTCCACTGTCAGGACAGCAGTGCTGGGAGCTCTGGCACAGAGAACAACAGAGTCCAGGAACAAGCATAAGGAAACTTACTGTATGGATGCTGCTGATGGAGCCTGAGGGTGTCAATAAGGGACAGGGATGGTGAGGAGGCAACATACTAATAAAGAGTCAATTTCTCAGTTTTGTGCTAGGAAAACTGGTGCTGGTACTAAGGAGTCCCATTAAAGAGGAAGACACTACCCAAAGTTCAGTTTCTCTTCCCATTTTTTCATTGTATTTGCTATATTTCAAAAAAATTCTAAGTAGTTTTTGCAAAAAAGCTTCTATGGCCACCAACAAGGTGGTCTCCAGACAAGCTTTCTTCAGCAATACATTTTTGCTAAAGAAAACTGTAAAATTCCTACTTTAAAAAAAAAAAAAGGTAGAAACCACAAATATAAACAGCATCACTTCCTTCTTTGAGTTTTTCTGCTTCAGAGTGAAGCCTCAGCAGCTCTTGTAAAGTATATTGGTGCTTCATAAGCAGGAATCACATTGAGCTCAGTGGACAAGAGATTTCCAGTAACATCTAAGTTGCAGAAGCAAGGCAGTCCTTCCCAAAGCCATTGAATAAGAGGAGACTGTGAGAGCAGATAAGCAAAAAGCCAGATATAAGCAAAAGGCCTTCATCTTGCAAAAAGTCAAAGAAAGAGGAAAGACCGGAGTTGGGCTGGAGGTCAACAGCAGAGCTCCTGGCCTCTCTGCATGCCTCTTCCATGACATCTCCCTGTTTCCCCCAGCAAACGGGGACATGGCACCTCTGCTCCCCAGGCCAGCACCAAGCTGGTGTTCCTGCAGAGTGGCATTCCAGCAGCTGGAGAACTGGCTGCATCAGCCCAGAGCTGAACTAATACAAGAGCTGTTTTGGCATCCAAGCTTGGAGGGGCTGCCTGAGTTAATGAAGCTGATGGGAACAGGAGGGACTGTAACAAGGTGCTTCTTACGGAAAAGCAGGGAACTTCCCCCAGGCTGCCTTTGGCTCCTGCAGAGTACTTGGGTTAGTTTGTAACTTATTAACACCAACATTGGCTTGATCAAAGTTCAGCACGTGCTTAGTTGCTCTTCTGGAACAGCGGATTTGAAAAGCATATTGCGAGGTTTCCTAGGAATAAAAGAGACATCGAGAGAAGGCATTCCCTGCCCCATCTGCTCAGAGACATCCACTGCACCACTTTGGGTCGTGAGACAGGGTTAATTCACCACCTGGTGCCTGAGGAGCCAGCTCTGCTCAGCTACTGTGCCCATCTCCATCAGGCTCCCTCCTTCTCTTGCAACAAAAGAGTTTTGCACCCCAGTAGTGCCTGAAAGGGTCTCCAGGCTTAGAAGGAAATGCTCTATGAAGAAGGCAGAATTGCACTGCATGTTTTAAGTGTCTCCCCTGCAGCTGGAACCTTAGCTTAATCTAAATTACATCTCTAGTGCCCCAATTTAAAGGGTTCAATCGACGATGTCACTTGGAAAATTAATCGCTTTGCTGCTGGACAAGCGGCGATGGGGAACAGAGTCAGCACTGCACCGCAGCATCAGATGAGAGCAGCAGGGCTGTTTCTCCCAGAAGCAGGAGTTATATGCAGGGGGACTGCTGCAGTTCCCGCAGACAGTCTCTTGTCAGGCCATTAAGCCTACACAAACAAAGCCAGCCCACCTCCAAAAGAAACCAGGAGTTCCCAGGAATGATTTTCTATCCACTGGCTGCTGTGCTGACCGCTGCTCCTGAGGGGCCTTTCCTTTGGAGGCAGAGAAGGGAAGAGCAACCCTGGCAGACATGGAGCACAGAAAACCTGCCCCACTGGACACAGCAAGGGTAAATTCAGAGGACTCACAAGAAAGACACAGGAAAGGAGGGTCTTATGAACCAAAGTGCTCAGGAAGGTGAGAGCTTGTTGCTGACGAGCCCTGGGAGAGAAGTGCTGACAGATGAAGCTGCAAATGTAGTCTTTCAAAAGTATCACTGGGCAGGATGGCACCAGAAACAAAATCAAAGAAAAGGAGTTGCTGAGCAGGTGGCATGCTTTAAATCCTAGCTGGCCTGGGATCACCACCACTTACCCTGGCATACGCCTGTTGCAGTGATCAAGTTACCCAGTGAGAAGAGGTTACACAGCAATTACAGCTGCCTCCCCTCCAGCAGAGGAGCTAAACGTATTCTGCTACCCTCAGCTTTCTCTGCAGGCTCACAAGCAAGAGCCAAACAGGTTTCATCCACTATACAGCTACTGCCCAAACCAGCATGGGTAACAACCTTGGACCTCGTAGCCAAGAGACAAACCTACACTGATTTACAGGACAATGCACAGGTGTGCTTGCTTGCTTGCTTATCCAAACCTGCAGGTGTCCAGAGAGCATATAGTTCTGTTGTTTCAAGTGGTTTTATTTATATACTTTATAATGAACAGTATCTGTAGATTATTCCTTGTAAATACCTGTGCTCCATGAAAGTCAGAGTTTACAACATCCAAGTAAAGTTCCCGGAAACATTCTTCATTTTGGAACATTTTGTTGGAGAGATTAGTGATTTATCAACCACTTCTGGCACCTGTTAAGAACATGCTGCTATTGCTTACACTGACCCACAAAGGACCACTATTTCAGCCCTATTAGAAGCGAGATGTTCATTGCTATTCAGATAGTACCTGTGTCTATTGCCAAACCTGCACAGACACATCACCCACCACCTCTTAATGAAAGACAGGGTCTGGGAGGAATGAAGTTCAGAGCTGATTTCTTTCTGTGTGCTGTTAAAAGACATCACTAAACATTTATGACATTTCCAAGTACTTATTGTCTGGTGGGAGAAAGCATCACTTCTCCCTCATGTTTGCAGAAGAAAATACAATTAGAGAAAGGAACAAAGTTCCACTTCTGCAGCCACTTACTACAAGAAATGGTGCATTTTGGCCATCACGATCATTTTTTTCCCCTGCTTATCAGTGATCGAGGAGAAGCAAAGAGAAACCTTGACTGCAAACAGGAACTCAGTCTCTGGGATACAGGCAAAGAGGATGCTGTTAAACATTTCAGGAAACACTAAGGGAAAGATGGGGGCAGCCAGATGTTCTGAAAGTTTTGATTTATCCAAGAAAATGAACTGCCTGTTCTAACAAGAGGAGAAATAGCTAGTG